TTCTAGGAGTTTTCAGGACCCCCGTCTGTCCTCCCTCGCCAAGGTCGTCGCGGCCGGGAAGTCAAAATATTGCCCTATTGTCCACACATAGTACACCAGTTCAGACTTCAGTCGGGTCGCGTGGGATGCGCACGTGACGTCACGCTTGTGTTTACAAAGCAAATTAAAAGTTCAACCTCAAGTCAACGCTATTTATCAAATATGTCCGTACTTCGTGGAGAGGGCCGCGGTTTTTCTTACACACGGATGTGTCTCTGAGAACAAACACGATTTTAAAAGATTTTCGGGACCCCCATCTTTGTCATAGGGTGACTCGTTTATCGGACTTTTCGTCGCAGCGAGAGTACAGGGAAGGATAATAATTCATACCATATATCGTGCAGAAGAGAAGAATATTAAAAAAAAGAAAACGAAGCGAAAATTTCGATTTCCTTTCTTGTGGACAGGGCATTGTAGGTGAACGTGGCTTCCTTGTTTGATTCGCCAAAGTAGCAACAAAGCGGCATTTTACGATCGAGCGAGCACCGTCGGAAACACTGCCCGAAATAATTTTATAGGGAGTTTCACGGCTTTCCACTGCGACATAAGCACGTGGATAGAAAAACAAATAATGACAACAATAAATGTCGAATATTTTTGGCATGCTCACACCTGGTTTTTCTTCATAATTTGATGACACATATGTTGATTTTGTTTGCGGAACCGTACTTCTGACCGGCAATTTTATTGCGTACGCGAAGCTTTTGCGTGCGATCCACTACAGTTAAATATTTTGGGGTGTCCAAGTTGAAGCGGTGCGTGTTATTTTTCGATCTCTGTCCGAATGATACAAAGTTTCACGTTTTCACCCTGTGAGTGAAGTGAGTTGGTCAGTGCTAGCATCGAGGGCTAACTTCAAACTCTAATTTGGAAATGTCTCTGTTGCCGCATCGCGGACAAAGATATATATGCTCTGTAGCAAAATAATGTGGCAGGATTTGTGCTCTTGTTATGATCGTGTACCATTGTAGTCGACGGCATCCCAGCACGGCGTATCGTTTTTGTCTTCGGTTCAGCCCTGCAAACCACACTTAGGAAAAAAATGAAAGTTTGCACCTTGTTTGTTCAATTTTTTTGTTATACTGCAGAAACACATTGCGCCCCGTGTTTTTGAAGGCACGGTAGACGGTGACGGTGAGGTGACCGACCCCCATGTCAGCCGGCGTCTCGCTCGACCTCCTCGGAGGACAGGTCGTTTTTACTGGTGACTGGTGCATACGTGGAGGAACTCCGCGCGCATTGCGTTCTTCATCTTCGAGAACGCAATACATGACTCAGCTCTATCTCGTCATCGCTCCAAAATGACAAGTGGAATTCGCAACTGAAGTCGGTGACAGGTCAAGAACGAAGTGGGAGCTCCTCCCACCCTGTTCCACTTCAGCGGAGCGAACGGAGGAGAGGAGGTCACCCCCTCTCCAGCGTTCGCAAATGGCAAATTTTAGTTTATTAGGCCACTAACTGTCAATTTACGCTCGTTCCTTTACGTCCGCCGCAGCCGATAATGTTATCCCCGGGAATACCAAAAGTATAATTTCTTTCAGCAAAACAAAACAAAACAAAACAAAACATAATAATAAAACGCCCGGTATATCACAGCTTTGAAAACGCTTCACGTGTGTGAGGTTCGATGACCGACAGAAAACCACCGCTGGCCGTGCTCCCGAAGCGGGGAAGTGCAATTTATGGAGACCGATCATATTATCAGAAAGGTGCAGACTAGGGAGCCTTCATGCGCGCGAAGCGCACATGGAGGCACTCTAATGCAGACAATCCAGGAAAAGTATTCTTGCAACTATGAGGTTCCAGTTGTACTTACACATGCATTATCGTCAAATTTGACGGAGTTCCTTCCAACACTAAAGAGTTGTCAAGAGTGAAGATTATAAAGGAGAATATCAGCAGGAATCTATTGTCTGTTTACTGAAAACAAAACAAGCATCAGAAAAACGCATTTGGGCGGCCGGGGAGGCCAGAAGCACGGACTGCGCGCACCCAGCGTGGAACCAGCGAATGAGAGGGCACTCCTAGCAATCTGTTTTCAGAGCCACGGTATGCCGACTGCCGGCCAAATGTCCACTTTAATTCTATTATGGCTTTCGAAATGTAAATACACACTCGAGAATGTTCAACAATATCACGCGAGCGCCGATCGGCCTGTAGATCAGCGCATCGTCACGGCGCGAAGTAGCGATATCAATGACAGTATGCGCGTGCGCAGAAGAAACGCGCCGAAGTCGGCGTCGGCTGCTAAGCTGTTTCCCCAATCACGACCCACCCCTGGCGCGACGCCCACCGCTTGCTCCACCCCATAAGCAGGGGACCTAGTAATCAAAGCGACACACACGGTACGCAAACACGAACAGCAGCCAGTAGGAAGGACACCGACACGAGCTTAGTCAGCGAACGAAAAGACAGACACAAACCTCACTCTAGGCAAACAGAGCAGGGGTAGTTACAAGGATGAGAGGCGTGCGCAGATGGAGGTAAGCAGTGCACAATAAATACGCGAAAACTCGCAGCAACCGAAGAACCACGCAGCAAACACGTACGTGCACACGCACCAGAAGCATGTGCGTCACGCTGCTTATCTACGCGGAACTGGCGATTTTGGCATTTCGGTAATTTGAAACTTCGATATCGATTGCGTGAACAATTTATTCAGCAAACTGAACCGGTGGAGCCTCGCATAAAAAAAAAATCGTTTGACAATATGAAAGCGACTGAAATTCTTCCTAAAAGCTATATTAGCAGAAAGTACCGTGTTATAAAGGACCTCACGAGTTTCGACCAAGTTTTCCAGCACGTTATTTTGCAAGAAACGGAAGAAGCCAAGTGTACAACCAGTTTCCGAAGCTGGCAACCACAGCTGGAATCAGCGCCATCCTCGGCAGTTTCCTGAACCTCGCGTAGTCACATTTCAGCCACCGCCACATAGAGGGCGCAACCAGACATCCAATTTGTGTTTTCTGTATGGTTTATGATTTTTTTTAATAGGCTCGATTAGTGAAAATGTGGGCTAATAATCAGGACCTGGAACAGTAATCTCCATTTAATACTAAAAATATCGGCCTAAATGTCTCCCAAAAAGGGTCAAAATACTCGGTTTTGACTATCAACAAATTCGTGATTTCGCCTATATTCAAACTTTTTTTATGGAAACTCAAAGATGAAATTTAGAAAAAGGGCCTCTAATGACAAAGCAGAATATGTTTTTCTTTGCAGGTCTACAATTTTATTCAAATGTGCCAATCCCTAAGCGCTGTACCACTGTACTACCAAATGAAGTTTGCAAAAAAAAACTGTTTTTGTCACTTTTCACGTGAGCATTCCGAAAAACGTTTAGGCCATATTACAATGAAATTTAGCGTAGCTCTTTCTACCATGGTTGCAAACACATGTAAAAAGTTTCAAATAAAATGACCGAGTAGGCGGCCAAAAATCCGCGACTGAATGTGCTTCCGCGAGGTTCATTTTTTAAAGTAAATATCTGTCAAAATAAAATGAAAAACGAAAAAAGGGCCTCTAATGACAATGAACGCACTCTTCTTCTATAACATTCTAAAATTAGAAATAAATTGCTCCAATTGTGCACCCTGTACCCCTGTACTACGAAACCATGTTTTGCCGAAAAGGCCAATGTTCGCGGGTGCCCACTGAATTAGCGTTTTGCACTAGGAAAACAAATCCTACATCAGAGGAAAGATAATGTTGTACAGGACAAGATGATATATAACACATAATTTTTGAAAGCTTGAACACGCCACAATCGCATTTCGAAAACGTGCGGAAAGCGTCATATGTCATGGCCGCCGTGGGACCGCAGCCTTAAATAAGATTGTTGAAGTTTTTTCGCTCATTCCTGCTTGAAGGTTTCACTGATGATGTTCCCGCATGGGAGACGAAACGCTTGATTAAATTGTTAATCTTGTTGAGTAAAGTCGGCGCAGTTTTTTTATCATTAAATTTGCTGCTAATATTTATACCTGCTCTTATTGAGGCACTTCCGACATTTAAACTGAGAAATTTTGACGTCTTTATCTCAATATGGCGATTGGATTAAAGATTATACCACTGGGCACGGGCTTGGGCTTACCCGAAAGCCCAGGCCTGGGATGGGCTCGGACTTTTGACTGTGGGCTCGGGCCGGGCTCGGGCCAGCACGTTCATTGGCCTGATTCGGGCCAGCACGTTGATTGGCCTGGTTCGGGCTCGGGCCAGCTGTAATTGACCATGATGCTGACAGAGGCCATCGTAGAAATCGGCGTCTCGGTTATCTCAGCAACATCAACTCCAGAACCACTAGACAAGTACCCATGAACGTAGGCCCACCTTAAGACAGTGGACGGCAGCGTCGTTAATCATGAGGTGAGCTTCAGGTTAATCCCAGTGGCGTGATGTTTTTGCTTGTGGTGATAAATAGCGGCAAACCAAAAGTAAACGGACATTGAAGCACTCTGTCAGGAATTAAAAATAGGGGACTCAAAAACATTAACGCTAAACAATCTCAACCTAATTGATCATGAGAAACACTTATCTCTCTCGAATAATAGCTGGGAAGCGCTAACATAGCGGCAATGATGTAGTGGGGAAGCTTACAGGCCTAGTAAACAATTATACACATACTGGGGAATGCCTGGCAGATATTCAGGTATGAATACATGCTCAGATCTACAAAATATTTTAGGAGAAGATACAAACTGCAAATTAGTAGTCTTTCTTAGAAAACACATTGACGTATCTTAATCACAGTGCTAAAACCCATAAAAACACTTGATTACAATTATTTTAATAAAAAAAAGTTCTAAATATGTACATGACACCAGCAGTCATAACTTTGATTTAGTTCATCGCAAGCTATATCTCTCTGGCAGCAAACGAAGACAAACCTTTTAACTGTGCAGTGAACCAGAATTAATACAATACGACGAAGCTTCCGTATACCACTTTAAAATAACCACAAACAACGCTTTTCAGATTAGTATGTTTTGCTATAAAAGGCTTATTATAAAGCCATAGTCCTTACAGTATATTATAAAGCTTTTAGTCTTGCTGCATCCAGTTGTGGCTTTGCTTAGCCTTTGTGCGGTTTGAAGGTCTGCCGGTTACAATTCGCCAAGGAGGCCATCTGTGGCGGAGATAATTACCTAACCTTACCGGATGAACATTGATTCCCTCTTCTATTTGAGAACTTTCGTGTGTGAAGTCTTGTTGAGCCACATGCCATTGCCAATGCACACATAGAAGACATAAACTTCAGTTCATCTTTGAAGCAGCACTATGTACAGGAAATTTACCAGCGCAATATTCGTGACTCCAGCGAAATCGACGCCGCGTAGCGGCAGCGCCGAGAAGCTCAGGAGAGGAGGTTGTCCCGACTCTGTCGTCTGCTATCGCTGCTTGGTTCTCGTAGGCAGCATAGAAACAAACATTGGTTCCAGTAATTATTTTAATGATTCCACCGGGTCCTTCCTACGCACTGAGTAGGCGAACGTTTCTAGGGTCGAAAAATCGCTTTGCACTCAAGTGTAACACCGATTTTGCGCTGCAGTGCAGGAATTTGTGATGGTCCGCATGCTGAACAACGAAAACAACCTTCTTTCGTCCGAATTTTGCCTGAGCAGCGCCGTCTATAGTTCGCTGGGGTCTCGAATAACCTGGACTGGGATTGAAAACAGGGGTCCTATTTGTCAACGGCATGCCTCAAAATTAATTTTGTTGATGAAAAGAAAAAATTGTAGCAATATTTACGCGGCAAAACGCAATTTGAGTTTGGCACAAAACCGAACCGGTGTAACTAGCAGGTATCCTTCTTACCTCATTACTGTCAGAGTTAACGGTTTGAATGATTCGACGTGATCCCTCACCCTCCTCCTCTTCTTCATCTCCTCTCTCTCCCCCAACGAACTAACAAACAAACGAACACGCACGCACGCACGCACGCGCGCACACACACACACACACACACATACCTCTTCTCCAAATAGACACAGACTGCGCCACACCTTGACAGATATAATTCATTCTAACCTGAAGCCTATCAGCACAGAAAAAATGTTAAAACACATAACCTTTACCTAGTTTCTGGGCATATGAAAACAAACACACGGCACCCCTATCGATGAAATTCCTTGTACTTGTGGCGGCATAACTAAAGAAAATCTCAAATTTAAAATACGTCTTATGAATTACTTCGCAAGCGCGAAAATGAAATTACAATTACCTGTCTCATACAAGCTTCCTCCAGCCCTCCCGGGCAGTCACTCATCTCGTTGGAGGTACTAGCACCCGCTTACTGTCACTGGGTTTCCGAGTCACTCTGCGATCCTGAAACAACCGGCGCCGAGAGTTACTCCCACATATTGTGCTTAAAGCTGCAATTTTTAACTTAAAGGAGATGGTCACTAGACTGGGCACAACGCGTGTGGAGACTAGAACTTACCAAACAACTTTAGGATCCGCGCCTTGAAGAAGTCCGATTCTGTTTCGTCACAAGGCTTGACGGGCAGAAATTTGAGATGATATGTGGCTCATGGTCGTCCTCAAGACGTACGCTTGCATAATCGTTCGTAAAATTCCGGCCGCTCAACTGGTCTCGACTCTGCAACGTGCTTCAAGCGGTTAGACTTCCCGCGAACGTTGCTTCGGCTAACTCTCTAGCCACCATACTTCGGCAGCTTCGGTGGCTTCGGTTCTTCTTCCACGCTTCCTTGTCCTCCGGCCGGACCGTTCGGTTTATCACGTCGGACCACTTCCTGACGCAGGGGATGTATCACGTGACTATAATACTTCGTATTTTAACTCTTGTTTTTGTTTGCTGAAGTAAACGAATACTTAAAAAATTTACTTATTGACCTTAATTTAGCAAAAAATTTGCATAAATTGCACTTTGAAAACTTATTTTGGTTTTATATGTCATGCGGGTGCATGCGGGTGACCCCACTGTTCACTCTATTGACTCCAGCTCACTCTATATTGTCACGTGGTGTAACCCGCAAGCCCGCAAGCCATACCGCAAGTGTGACTGATGCACTTAAGAAAATAATAAACGTTTCTAAAAATTATGGTATTACTTAATTGTCAAATATAAATACTGAATATATATTAAACTTATAACGGAGTAATTTTATTTGTCATTTTAATTAGAAAATTGCATTCGCTGCGGGACGACGTCGGCGCGAATTTTAAAATTTGGATTTGAGACACGTAAGGTGTCGCGCTGTGCGACCATGAACCCAAACAAAAAAAATATATTTGGAGCCACTAAGTATACCCAGCTTGCCAAGGACAACAGTCCTGAGACGAAGTTGTGTCCTGAAAAATGCTACAACAGGCCAGGGACCAGAACCGACGTCGTCGACAGCAGTTTCTGTAAGCTCGGTTGTCTCGGAACACGGTGAGACAAAAACTCCCCGTGAACTAAGTAGTACCAATGAAACCAGAAGCGGTCACAGTACTGGGCCAGTTAGTGAAGACACAAGTGATAAAATTGTGAAAGTGACGGGAGATTTGAAGACCAATTTCCTGTCCAAGTTTCCGAAAAGGCTACTGCCAAAGACGAATGTAACGAGTCTGACGTACCCTGTTTCGGCTGGCCCTCATTGTAATTGGACGCAAAATGAAGGGCTTTTGAATCTCGTAAACTTCATTGCTGGAGTGTACACTCTTCCCGGCATTAAGGAAAACTACAACATTGGGAAGCCAGAAGCCAAACTAAAGGCCCAAACTGCCAACAAGCGCGTAAAATGCCTTTCAAAAAGGAACTTCCTTGCTCAACTACAAAGTGGAAAGCGCTGCCTAACACTTACTGTGCGTGAAACAAGGTGCACTCATAATTTCGGGAAGGTCATCCTTATTTCGTGTGTGTGTGTGTGCGCGCGCATTTTATGCGCTTTTTTTTTTAATGACTTCTATGGTGTTAATAATTATTGGATGTTATTCGGCACTACCGGCTTTTCTTTTCTGTTAACGAGCGCGTAGCCTCTGCTAGGGCTCAAACAGGATACGTTCACATGGCAAAATGGAAGCCTGAAGTATCGGATTTTTTCACCAACTCCGCCAAAGTTTTAAAGTACCGACGTCGGAAGTCGGAGAGCTTTGGACCAATCGTGGAAGATGATAATAGGATTTTTGAGTCAGTGTTATTCTGTTTTTGACCCGGTTTTACTCTGATTTGCTCGGTTCTGGAGCGAAATTTATACAAAAACCAGAAGGTTCCACTCCGAAACCAGGTAGAACTGAATAAAGCGGAGCAAAGTCTAATGTGAATACATAATCCAGTTGGTGCAATCGTTTACGCTATTACTGTTACTGAGACATCCTGGAAAACAAAAGGACAGAATACACCGCTAAAACTGCAGAGTTCCGATGATACCTGAATTTCGTGGCTTGCCTATATATAATTATTCATGAATCTTGTGCATACTATGTGCACACACAATGTTCCCGCTCCCTATAGTTTTTTTTAATGTTTTACTGGCAGCCGCATGTTTTATAATACGAAGGAGGACAGTACGTAATCAGGAAATTCTAAAACACGTGACAAAAAAGAGTTCATATTCACTTTATTAACTGAATGTTTTATTTAATTAGTGTCTACATGGCCCAACCCAAGTTATATAGCTAAAAAAATGTTTATTTGACAGAGAGGAACTCATCGGGCACGCACGTATCTGCACGGGGGGGGGGGGGGGAACCATGGGACCCCCCCCCCCTCCTCCCAAACCTTTCATTTGGTGGGGCCTCCTTCCCCCCTCCCCCTCATACAGTATTTTGTCATGGGCGCATCAAAATCCTGGCTGCGTGCCTGCCATCGGGGTATATTTGCGGCAAAAATTATTTTCCTGTGCTCAAAACATAAAACTTTAGTATATAACAACTCTAATTTCTCCACTAAGCATACTGTTTAACCTGATAGATGCCCACTTAATAGATTTTATGTTCTGTATTCCCAGTCGACCATTAAAAGTTCTCGATCCGAAATGCATCCCATTTGACCAGTGAAGCTTTCAGTTTAACCAGTACAACTTGTTATTGATCCTATTGAAGGACCAATAGGCACTTGTATTCCGGACCAGAAAACACTCGTGTTGTTCCCATAGAAGTTTCTATCTTGTCCCATAGAAGTTCCTGCTTGTCCCACAGAAGTTCCTAATGGTACAAGAGAAGTCTGTATTGGTACGATATAACTTGTTATCGGCCCAGTAGAAATGCCCATCGGTACGATGAAATCCTATTGATCGCATAAAAATCTCTATCGGTCCTATAGAAAATTTTTGCAAGGGTGTGCTAATTTGGCGATTGAGCATTGTCACTGCCATACTGCACCGAGTTCACTTCTCTGCAGTGCATGGCTCTTTGCTATCTCCCGTACAATGGCTCTGCCACATAGCGCCACTGGCTGCAATGAGCGGTAATGAGCAAACTGAGTGTCGTGCACATTGACACAATTGGCATCATGGCGCTTGCCCCCTAAAGTTGACTTTTCCTCAACCGATTCTTTGGCCTTCCCCCGTGCTGCGGCTTCTCTGCAGCATTTCCAGTTGCACCAATGTGCAAAACATCGAATTTTCTCATCGGCGCCAATTGCACATTCATGCTCATAGGCTTTGGCTATGCATTTCAATTGGAACAGGCCTGCCATTTCCAGCAGGGTACGCTGTCCCCCCGCCGTACCTACGCTTTCCCGGCGGTGGCCAGAGGCCAGATTTACGAAGCGAACTTACGAACAAAAAAGTACTTACGACAAAACCTGAGAACAAATCCGAATTCACGAAACGAAATGTTCGTAACTTTTGCGTGGTTTACGAACGAATCCTACGACAGCCTCCGAGCTGTCTTACGAACTTTTCTTCCAACATGGCTGCCTATATCGGTTGGTTGATGCGCCTCGACGGACAGAGGGCTTTGAGGCGCGAGCGGGTGTTCCGCCCTCGGATTACGGTGAACGACGTGCCGGAGCACATTTTAGAACGATACTACCGCCTGCCGAAGGAGGCCGTGCTTCGGCTGTGCGACGTGGTCGCCTCAACTCTTCGTCGGCCGACAAAGCGGAGTTGTGCACTGCCGGTCGACGTGCAGGTGCTGGTGGCGCTACGCTTTTACGCGAGCGGTAGCTTCCAATCCGTGGTAGGCGAGGTGCGACACCTGAGCCAGGCGAGTACCTCACGAATCGTCAACAACGTGAGCCAGGCCCTCGTCCTGATAGCCGGGGAGGCGATTTGCTTCCCAACGTCACGGCGAGCAGCGTCCCTCACTTCGATCGGTGAGTATACTACGGCGTTAGCAAAGGCGTTATTCCGCCGGCGCAAACGTAACCGATTGCGAGCATATTAGTCGCTGTTCTACAAACGCGCTAAATATAATAGCATGACGGGAGTGCGTATGCCTACCGTCACTTGATATCAATCCAGGCGCGAAGTCCACCGCCGCTCATGTGTACGCGCAGACACTAAAAATATCTATCTTGACTACCAAAGCAAATAGCTGAACCGCATGTAAACGATTTAGCGAGCGATGAGACGAGCGACGGAGAATTCTCACCGCCGCTCGTCGGGTCGTTCTGTTTTTGTTTTCTAGAAATGTAGCTCATCGCCTTGGTCGCTTGCTCCCGTCTCTTTGATCTAGTGTGCTCCGTCGCGTGACTGACCAAGCGCGGACTACGAAGAACAAACACGACAGGACAGTGCTGTTATTGAAGCATTGTCCTGTCGTGTTTGTTCTTCATAGTCCGGGTTTTCTGAGCTGTTTTTCCAATCAGGTATTACAAGTCCACTGAGCACAGAGTCCTGTGCATACAAGAAACGAGACTGCCTTTCTCGAGCATGCCAGTTTTTGCATTATTACTTAGGGGCATATCACGAGGTTGTATACACCATTTATGGCACTAATAGTTTTCACATGCTGAGCATGCAATTATACCTTGTCTCAGCATAACTTGATAACGAGCGAATGCTACGGCTTTCTTCAGCCAACCTAAGCAACAATGCGAAGCATACAATTCCTCTTCATGGAAGGAGTACCGATATATTGTCACATGCCTCGCACCGGGCTGCCCTTGTAGCTCCTAGGCAAAGCGCCTTCCTGCAGATGCCCAGGTGGCGGGTTGGCTAAGGTCCCTGCAATATCTCGGAGGCTTATTGCACAGAAGGAGGCGTGCCATTAGCCAAAGTTTTGTTTGCATATCAAAAGATCCCCACGTGGCCAGAATGGACTCTCAGTACTCCACTGGGCCGTGTCAGATGCCCTTCATTGGTTTGGCATGTAAACCCTCAAATTTACATGCCCGCACCGACATTGTGATTGGCTTGCTAAGGTCACGGCATTATCTATTCACCATGTTGTGGTGAAATCAAGTGTATGAGGATTACGGTTGTATCATACTTGCATGTCTGTTTTCTTTTAACTCATTCTACAGGTTTCCTCGGGATCGCTGGCTTCCCACGGGTGCTCGGCTGCATAGACGGCACCCATGTGGCCATCAAGGTGTCCAAGGAGGACAAACCAGTTTACCTCAACCGCAATGGATACACTTCGATTAACGTCCAGGCTGTGTGTGATGCCAACAACGTAGTGACCCTGCTGACTGTCAAGTGGCCTGGCAGCACCCACGACAGTTTTATGTGGAGGAATTGTGACCTCTATGAGAAGTTCTGTGCTGGCACTGCCCCTGATGGCTGGCTGCTTGGTAAGTTTCTACTGAAAGGGTGCAGTAGAACATTGCTGCACACAAAGAAAACCTAATATAAAGGCAACAATTTGCACTATGACTGTAAGAGACATCGTCCAGTAGTCTTAAATTTTTGGGAATGTGCTCCGAAAGCAGTAATGATCAAAATGCATTTCTTTGCAGTTTTGTTTTGTATTGACAATTCAAGATTGCAGCGCCACACTATACTTGGCTTGCACCGATGTCACTACAGACACCATGTTGATGGCCACAAACACTATTCTCTCTCAGTGGTGGCCACAAATACTGCGTTCTCTTTCTCTTTCCGTTCTGGATAAGTGGGTAAGGGGGAGGATTGCTTTTGTGTGTGAAGTTCGGGGTAAAAGGTAATTCCTGACGGGGACAAAGGCGAGTTTGAGGGGAACCTCATCTATAGTCGGTGACAGGTCAAGAATGAAGCGGAAGTTCCTCCCACCTCTTTCCACCCTAGTAAAGTGAACGCCAGAGAGGAGGTGACCTTCTCTCTAACGTTCGCTCCGCTGAAGTGGAAAGGGGTGGGAGGAGCTTCCACTTCGTTCTTGACCTGTCACCGGCTGTAGGTCATGATGCCTCAGCGAGCCAACAGGATGTAGTGGTCGGAACGACTCCCAGTGTGGTCTCGTGACGTCACATGCAAGCCACATATATATGTATATGTGCCATGTATACACAAGTATTTATTGCAGAAACCATGGCCACATATATATGTATATGTGCCATGTATACACAAGTATTTATTGCAGAAACCATGACAGTCAAATGTGGTGACATGAAATTACTATTCAAGCCTGTCTTTGCATAATGCAGGGGATGCTGGCTACTCCGTGCAGCCCTGGCTAATGACCCCAATCAGGGCACCGAAGGATGAACCGGAGGAAGAGTACAACGAGGCGCTGACGAAGACCCGACAGGTCATTGAGCGAACGTTTGGACTCCTCAAGTCCAGATTCAGGTGCCTGGACAAATCTGGAGGAGTACTCCAGTACAAGCCTCAGATCTGCTGCCGCATCACTGTGGCCTGCGTAGTTTTACACAACTACTGCATGCGCCACCATGTGTCCTTCAACGAACCACTAGGTAATATAATAGGCCCTTTCCACAATTTAAGCGCTCCTGGCAGCAAGGCAGTGTATTTGGGGTTTCAAAAGACCAATCTCACTGTCGAAATGCGCTATGCCACTACTTCCGCAGTGTGTAAAGAAAAATTTAGTTTTGTTTACGCATGGCATTGCAAAGCACCAGATGGCACACACAGCGGTCTCTCACTGTGAGCTAGTTATGGCGATGTCACTTATGCAGAGGGTTTTGTGAGCTCGGTCTATTGGTCAACTACTGTTCACGGCATTGTGTTGCAAGCAAATGCATTGCTTGCATTGCTCAAATATGCAGAAATGTATAAACCTGTAGGCATTGCTGAACACGGTACACCAGCAAACTGGAAATTTGTGCCTATTGTGTCCGCAGCGAAAAAAGAATCAGCAACGACTGGGAAAGTAGGAAGATCATGGTACATTATTGCTCAGGAAAGCTAATTGTTATATTCTTCTTTCATTGTATACGACATACACTGTCGTTTCAGTCATTCAGAATGCGATGAACGTTAAGTGTCTGAACCAGGCCTCGTGTAAACAAGCAAGCTCGGCGTTTGGACATAGCGGTTGTCACAGCACATGTTGGCTTCGTTGCAGATAACCAACTTAGCCAGCAAAGTATGACTGCAAGCCTGGGGTTTTTAATTTGCACTAAAATGTTCATCTAGATTGAAACGGGCAGAGGTGGGGATCAACCCCACGATTCTAAGATTCTGAACAGATTAATGTGCAGAATCCCCAATGATTGCACATATCAGGCACTATTCAGTCACCCGACATCCACAGCTCTCAAAAATAATCTCGCAAGGGAACAAAAGCATATGGAAATGGAATAATCCCTATCTATGAGTGTGCATTTTGTCTGAGCTTTGGAAAGCTATCTGCTAAAAGTGCTAAAAGCAAGGTACCCTTGAAGTGCTCACGAGAATGAAGCCATTTCTTTCTTTGTTTACCAGCTAACAGAGTTTGTGTAGTTGGGTGCCAGCTAACACGTTATACACAACTGACATTCCGAGTTAATATAACTAGGAAAGCTTTAATGATTCTTTTTTTGTTTGCAGTTGACTTATCCGAGGACGAGGAGGAAGAGGAGGAGGAGGAGGAGGAGGAGGAGGACGACGACGACGACGACGATAGTGTTCAACCCACGGCAACAGCAAGAACTCGTAGGGCACGGCCCATGGCAGTGGGTGCATCTGTGAGAGATGCACTTGTTCGCCATGATTTCACTTAGAAGGACAGTGAGGTTGTTCTGAATTTTTTTTTATAATGTGCGTTCTTGAAGATTTTGGGTCACACATGCGACAATGGTATAATAAAGTTCCCCCCAGTGTCATGTGCTTTGCTCTGGCATTGTTATCAGCTCACTGGGCCATTAGAGTCTGCTGTTATGCAAGATACTATGTTGATATGGGGCGTAGTACATCGTTTATTCCTCAGGAAGACTTGTCGTCAAAGTGTACACCATATTTGTGAGCCTTCAGCGACACCAATTGCTGGTGCGTCACTAGGAGCTGCTGCTGCGTTGCCAGCAGGCCCTGCTGTGCACTGACCAGCAAGTCAAGCTTCTCCAATATTGCCCTTTGTGACTTCAAGATGTCGTGGCCAACCTCGTCGTTGCTGCCTGATGGGGTGGAATAAGGATGAAAGTTTTGTTAACAGAATGCACACATGTACGTGACAGGTACGCATACGGCACATTGATACTTTTGCCCTATGTTGCAGGTGAAGGAAACCAGACTCTGAAATGCAAAAAAAGTCTACATTTTTATATAAGCTTTACCAAAACATTCGGTACTGGAGAAAATGAGACCTCAGCATGGCATATTTATTGGAACTGTTTTTGTTTACGTTCAGCTCACCAGTTTGGTTTGCTTGTTGCCACCATAGACACATGCCCAAGCCCATCACCTGAGGCGATTGAGGGCTGACATCATTTGTCTAATGTAATGTAAATGGCACCCGACACTTCGTTGCCATGATGGTGACAAACCAGGCTGCAGATCAAACTAGACCTCACCGGCAACATGGGGTCGAAGGTACCAACATGCCCTACTGACCTTCAAAATATTGTCTCGTCTTTTTTTGTTTCAGAATTTCTGAGAATAGCTTTCCTCGAGAAGTGGTCATGTTTAAGAATGAAAACATAGAACAGGAATAACCATCCACCTTTCCTAGCAAAGCTCATTTGCAGTGCGGCACGTTAAATTTGTGCTGTTCGACACTCACTCTGTCGAATCGTTGCGGGAGTGGTGGCAGGTCTCTCCGCAGTTGAGGCACTTGCAGCCCTCGCAACTGCAGCTCTTACCGCTGCAGGCCGGGCTGACCCAGGTCGCGCCGATCCTGGTCTTGCTGAGGCAGGCCGTGAGGCCGTGGCACACGCTGCTGGGTTTTCACCTCTGTTGGGGCCTTTGAAGTAGACAAAATATGATTGGCCCATTATATGCTCTGAGACTACCCTGTAATGACCGAAGCGCCACTGAGACACTACCTTAAACAACCAAACCATTCTATAACGCGTCTGAATGAGGTTAGGTGGAATCGTGACCTCGGTGTTTAACAGTGCACACCAGCAAAGTAGGGTTTTCTGGCATTTAGTGTTATTTAATATGTTGACAGAATTCCCAAACGCATTATCCTCAATATGCTCTCTCTCCCTAAACCAAAATATCCTTTTCCTTCGCTACTCTCTCCAAACCAAAATATCCTTTTCCTTCGCTACTCTCTCTCCAAACCTAAATATCCTCCTCCCTCTTTCCTTTCTCTCCCTGTAAGCCCAAGGGAGGAAGAACTTAGTTTGTAACTTGGGTTTACATTGGATGTAATGCCATGTGAGACTTAAAATAACTGGAAACGACTTCAACAACCCTGTTAGACTAAAAAAAGTAATCTTTTGTTGCCACTGACAATGCTCTATATTGTACAGAAAGCTATTAAAAAGGTGTTCGACAAGTCCGAATGCCACATTTTTTCTTAGTATAATGGTATGAAATAGTACCATATTAATAAGTTATTTGTGACTAGACTTTCACATGCATTAATTTCCTTTTGGAGGGCCAGACCTCAAACACTGCTCTGAATTTAATTACACGCTAACCGTACTATACATTTCACATGCTAAATACAAACATTTATATATCAACACTTGACCTTATTGTGGTTCATAATACTCACTCTGGTTGGAAAGGTCCCCCATATCCCCCAAGCTGTAATTGGAAGAGACAAGAGCACCTTTAACAATCATTTGCACCTGTATATGTCACTCCCTCACTGATCAAAATAAGAACTGACTTTGAGTGCACGGGCCAACCTTGGTCTGGAGCGCTGCTGGGTCCCGCTCCCGGATCCGCGACGAAAGCTGAGAGTACCATGATTATGTCAGGATTTTGTAACAAGCTGAAATATTGCGAACTTACATATGGGTGAAATAAACACCGAGCCGCGGTCGGCGGCAACTGCTTGGGGTGGTTCCCGAGCGTCTAGAAAGTTGAAAAGCAAATAGGATGACACTCAAGACGACGCAGTTTTCGATGGCTCCTAATGCCCGCAATGAGTGTCAATCGCACAGTGAAGCCTAGAAGTGCGGTAACGGAACGAATAATATTCCTTCCCGCAGCCGCGCGCTTGAACGCCAGCACCTCGGGCATTGATGAGCATTTAGCACTTACCAGACTGGCGTGCTGGGCGCACACCTATATCGAAGGCCCCTTCTATGCCCACGAGGGCATCTTCACTAAGGAGGCCTATGACGCGCTCCTCAGCCTCCGTCAAATCGGGTTCTCCCGGGCCGCCTCCCGTGGCGTTTTGGCTGCGCCGGACTGCAGCTCCTATGAATTGCGACAAGCTGGAATCACAGTGAGCTCCACACTACATACGTAAGTTAAGAGCGTAGAAATCGACCTTACCGCGGATTTTGTTGGCACTCTTGTAGTCGGCCCACTTTTGTTTTACGTCGGCGACCTCACGTCGGATCCCTGACACCGCGAATAGCGTCGCCGTGATGCGTTCCCACGCCCGCCGCTTGGCTTGGGAGCCGTGCGGGCCGTCTCCCTTCGCTTCGATTGCTCTCTTATTTTCTTCATATCCGTCCACCAAGGCGGTGATCTCGGACTCAGTAAAATTTGGCATCCGCAACTTCTTTGGTGCCGACATCGTGGAAGAGCGTAGCAGACAGCCTCTGTTTTGTGTCTGGCGCACGTGCTCTGCAGCCCGCCGTGGAAACGAGCTCTCTGATTGGCTGATCAGGTTGTTGTAGACGCTGTTGTCATAGCAACAGCCCGCTCTCGCTGTTGGCGAGACACCGGAAGTCGTCGTTTGCCCGCGAGAGAATTTCGCTTTCCTCCTCTCACTTAAGAACGCGTTCGTGAATACCGATTTCTCCTCTTCTTACGATGTTCTTAACTTACGAACTTCTTAGCTAAGTTGTCGTAGCCTAAGAAGCTCTTCGTGAATCTGGCCTCAGATTCACGAAGAGCTTCTTAGTTTACGACAACTTAGCTAAGAAGTTCGTAAGTTAAGAACATTGTAAGAAGAGGAGAAATCGGTATTCACGAACGCGTTCTTAAGTGAGAGGAGGAAAGCGACGTTGTCGTACGGAAAAACTAAAACTTACCGGTGCTTTTGCTATGGCGACGGCGTCTTCGGCAGCACGAACAACCAATCGGAGAGCTCGGCATTTGTTCGGAGCCGTTCGGAGCCGTTCGGAGCACGTGGATTTTTCATAACAAACACAGGCGGCCTTTCTGCCACCGCTGGTCTGGGGTTCGTATCCGTGCAGTAATATGTCGACGCTAACACGATTTAAACTCGCCGGAATGCCGAGGCCGGGATGCGTAACCATCCCCATTGACTGCTACGAACTCGATCGCTACCAAGTCAACACAACTGTCATCGTTGGTAAAAGACGGCTCGCAGTCGTTTGCAGAGCGACGTAGATGGGAACAAATTGCCGCGGCGTTTTTTGCGGCCTCGGAGATGCAGGAGCGAGCCGACGTTAAAAAAGATACGTTTAAACTATGACAGTGTAAGCAAGAGCCACGTAAATGCCTGTTCACACTACGGAACGGACGCGCGCGTTTGATCTAAGTGCTGGATTTGCGCTGTTGGACCGGGACCGGTCCTTTACAATTGCAACTCGATGCTGACGTGACACCCGGCGAAGAAAGGTTGGACCGGCATTGCGACCCACGAACTGTTGCAGCGATCGACTGTGAGGTGCAGTCGTGTCAGAATAAAATGGAATACAAATAACAAAGTGTACATACCATGTTGCGAAGGTAATCCATACGGCGTTTATTTGAGCTTGATATCACACAAAACAGAGATAGAATCGATGAGAGCCCCTTTTCGACGACAGCGTTCGTCACCGTTGCCTCGGAAAACAAGGAGATGACAAGAGGAAGAGATTGACCTCTTAGTCTAGAATTGAGGTCAGCGATCAAACTATATACGCGAAGGGTTCACAAGGGTCGCGCGGGCATATTCCATTCAGCACGCCAGCCGGTCGTGGGCAGACGGTCTTCGCCAAGGACCGTCAGATCATCGCTGCGCCGAGTCGGAGTGCCTGCTAGGCCTATCTGCCGATCGGTCGGAGTCCGTACTCGTGGCCCTTGGAGTTTTTCCCGGGTGTCTGTGGATCCAGCGTTCTTGTTAGTTCGTCGTGGTCTGTTTCAAGTACTTTTTACTTGTTTCTTGCTGCTTGAAGTCGGGACGCGTGAGAAGCGCACGTAGAAAAATAAACATCCGTTGGTTGTCGCGACCAACTGAGCGACGCTGTCGGCCATGCCAGCCATGCTGATTTGATCGTAAGAAGTGCGTAAGACAGCTTCGGAGCTGTCGCAGGATTTCGTCGTAACCTGCGCAAAACTTACGAAAATTTCGTTTCGTGAATACGGATTTGTTCTTAAGTTTTGTCTTACGCACATTTTTGGCGTAAGATCGTTTCGTGAATCTGGCCTTCGAACCTACTCCCTACGCAAGCGTCCGTTTCTCCGGCAACCGGGGGGGGGGGGGGGGGGGGGCATTTTCTGCTTTTAGTCAAGCGATGGCAGCCAATCCCTTGCGGCGGCGACCTTCACATCGGCTCTATATTAAAGAAACCTGGCAAACTAAAAAATACACGTGTTCTATTGAAATGAACAACTGATTTTCTAGTGGTTCCAGAAAATATTAGATGGAGTAAACTCGCATAAAAGGTTGGAACAACATGCGGGATGCGGATGAGCGCCTAGTTCAAATCACTGTCGCTGATGACGGCTCAAGAAACGGGGGGATGTGGCCTGTCATGCTCACTCTTCTTGCGTCGTGATTGGTTCCTCGGCGTTCTCATCGGCTAATGTGGCTATCTCATTGGCTGCGGAGCGATAATAAAAGGTTCCAGTCTTGCAGTACCCTGCGCTTCTTAAATTGTCAGTGACTATGGTTCAAACAACATGGACGACGGGAGCAGGCAACGCGTGACCGCGGCCCAGAGGGAGGAACTCGATACATTTATGTTCGAGAACCCCTCTCTGGTACGCGGTGCAACTGAGCTTAGCCCGGCCCTGTCCAGAGACGACAAAGTTCGTCTCTGGACCGAGCTAACCTTCCGGCTCAACTTCCTCGGGCCTCCGAGGAAGGAGCCGGAAGGTTAGAAACGCTACTGGGCCGTGCGGGTGTCGAAGGCGCGGGCGCGGGCAGCCGAGCTGGCGAAACAGGCGAGGTAATTTGCGTAGTCAACTCATAGTGTGGACCAAGCTATTGAATTACTTCCTTTACTCGCAGGCAAACTGGGGGAGGAGGCGGCCGGGTGCGCTCACTGGCGTCATCATTCGCACGTATTTTGACGCTGGTGGGCGAGGACTCGGCCTTGGGCGCTCCTGGGTTTTCCGTCCCGGCTTTTGAGGACGAGGCCGAGGTGAGTGCACACTTGAACATAACATATACTATTGCACATGTAGCTGTTCAATCCCAATGGGGAGGAGAATATCCGTGCAGGGTTTTATTATCAGAGAGCTAAGATGTATACCGCAGTGAAATGTGATAAATATGAATGCAGGGGCGGATGCAGGAATTTCCTGAGAGGGGGGGGGGGGGGGTCAGGTGTTGGTCAGCGTAACATATGCAGTGATGTGAATGGCCTAAGCCATTTTGGAGCACCTTTGGGAGCAGCCAAAACCGAGTTTTGGAGCAGAAAAAGTGACTTTTGGAGCAGCCGAAACAGTGTTTCGGAGCAACAAAAGCGACTTTGGAGCAGAAATTTTTAGAAAAATAAAAATATTCGTTTCAAGTGCTGGACAAACGAAGGGCACTTTGTGTTGTGTTGTGACGGAACTCGCTGCTTGTGTTTTTACTGCTGAGACATCCCAGAAGTGTACAGTGCTGTAGGCGTTGCCGAGCAATTCCGAAAAACCGTTTGCCACCGTCTTACTGGTTCCTGACGTGCCAGATTTTCGTCAAAATTAAGCAAGCGTAAAACAATAGATTGCAAGCGCCTAGCTGGTGCCTCTGTCATGCAATCATGTTCCCATGAACGTGAGGGCAACTTTGGCAGACTTGCAGTTGTACGTGCTTCGTCGTACGAGTGTAGACAACGGCTGTTCGATCGAAACCGAAACCACGCCACTCCGTTTCGTCGCCAACTGGTTCCTAAACGTTTATGCAAAATGTAACTGTCCAGCATACAACAAACAACAGACCAGCGGCACGTGCTTGCCAGGCTGGCAGGCGAGGTACAATATAAACACACATAAAAAAATAACCTGAGCGCATCGATGCAAGACATCACGAGCTAGAATCAAAAAAGTTCTTGGAGCGCTTTGTGCAACAACTGAACTCTAGAGAAATAAGCGCCCTGTGAGGGTTCACCGTGCAGACATTGCCTTCTTTGGTTTAGCTCACTTCCCTTCACCAACTTTCTTTCGCGGCAGTATTTTCATGTACTCCCTCTCGAAAGAAGGCCCACTGAGAGAAACCTAGGTAATCAATACTTCGGCACAAGTGTCTTTAGTTAAAGGGGGATTTTTGTAATAGCGTATGATTTAAACAATCATAGGAATGTTGATGAACATACGGTGGTACTTACGTTAGTTTAGAAAGCGCCATATCTGTAGCGACAAGGGGCAGCTACGCCCGACGTCGCGCGACCACAGTGACTGGCGGGCAGGGACCAAATATAGTTTTCCCACTGCCGTGGCTTCCAGGAGCGAGTGCTTCAGCTCATAAAGTAACCCCCGCCGCGCAAAAACGTGGTTTCATTTCACAGCATGACGGCTTGGCTTGTACCTGGTATGTTAGCATCGAAGAGTCCGCACACACCCGCGTTTATCATTAAAAAAAATTTAAAAATGCGCGAGACGAGATTTACGAGACGACGAGAGCACGAAAAGCGAAACGGAGTTAAAAACCATGCAAGAACAGATGGACGATTGATGCAGGGTACTGTAGTGTGTCGGGCGGCAGCTTACGTTACCTACCTCACGCATGCTCAATTACGGTGCTCCGTTCAGTTTCGCTTTTGAAAGGCGACCGAAATTGGTCCATTGGCGCAGGCTTGGCGCAACTTACCCATATTTTGGCAAAATGTAGCAGGATGTAGCAGGGTTAGCCCCTTGGCGCAGTTTGGCGCAATTGGCGCAGCAATCACATCACTGCATATGTTTAGGAACCCCCTCCTCCCCTCCCTTGTTTAACGCCCTAAATTTTACACATGCAGAAATCAAGAGGGGGGTCAGGACATCCGACGTACCCCCCTCTAAATCCGCCCCTGTGAATGTGAATATATGCATTAAAGGTACTGGCACTTTTTATAATTCAGCGAATTGGAGGGCGGATTAATTCATGCACGTAAAGGCAAAAGCTAAAACAAAAGAACTGACGAGAAAAAAACACTATATTGCAGTAATACTGGAGTTTCTAAGGCCAAAACATGTGTAGTTTTTGTGTAGTCCTTTTTCTTCTTGCTTTTGTGGTTGTTGCAACCCTCAGTTGTATTGTGTGCACACTGTGGTAAGATTCAATTTCTGTATCACAGAGGTACATTTTCGCAAAAACAGGGGAAGTGCAACCTTTTGAGCTGCTACTAGACATATTTGGGGAGTCAATCCTAGACATGAATGGCACTACCTCTGAAACAGTCAAATTTTGTTTCCCCTGAGTTGGAATGCAGCCTCAACAAACCCACTCTCAGTATCTAGAAAATGCAGACAAGTCCTGTGTGCTGACTAGAACTTATAAATTCCCTTCTGTGGGAGACCCGCAGAAGCCCAGGCAGGTCACGGGCAGCAGGCAGCCGAGCCGGTGCCCTCCACCTCACGGGGTGAGATCTCTTATGAAGACAACTAGGATTGTTTGATATGACAGAAGCATTCTTTGTTTCCTGGCAGATGTGAGGCCACCTGCAAGGCCCCGGGTGCGGCCCACGGCGCCTCGTGCCACCCCCCGAATGTCGAGGCAGGAGCGGCGCGACGAGGCTGCCATGCAGGCTGTCGCCAACCAGACTCTCCAGCTGCAGGAGAACGAGACGAGGGACGCGCGGGACATCGAGTTCCAAGGCCAGGTATTGACTCAAACATAGAACTCCGTAACATGACTAAATAGTTACGAGTTTAACAAAGATGCCACTGTGAAAGTGGGACTGCAGCAGAGGGCAATGGAGATCCAGAAAAGCATAATGCAAACCGAACTGTGACATATGCAAGGTTTTCACGCCCTCCGCGTGTCTAGAAATATGTTGTTGCTGCGCTTTAAATGCCCCGTCTTTCCAGCTCCTGCGTTCCATCGAGACCCTCAGCCACCGCATGGAGGCTGTTGCGGAGTCGAACCAGGAGCAAGCTCGTGCCACACAGGCGGTGTCCCTGGAACTCCAAAACACGACCCGCGTGCTCGTCGAGGTCGTTATGCTGCTGACTGCCGAGAGAAGTCGAGCCCTGGGAAGCCAAGACCTGCCGAGCCCTGCCCAGCCACCCCTCCAGCCCAGCCAAGTCCAGCCCCGCCCCGCCGAGGGCCCCGCCGAGCCCCGCCCCGCGGAGCCCAGCCACGCCGAGCCCAGCACCGCCGAGTCAAGCCACATATAATTTAGTTTAGTGGACGATCATTTTATGTGCCAAGCCAGTATTCATTTTTTTGTTTTTGTTTTGTTCTCCAGGCGGAGACAAGAAATATGTTCTTTTGTGCCACTGGTATGTGGCACAAAACAGTTGTTTATTGGAGTCACTATAACCAGTGAAGCAAGTTAGTAATATGCTCTTGGCAACAGGCATGACAGATATATGCTAAAACTAGCCATTCCTCAAGTTTGTAGGACAGCAATATGTAGTGTGTGCTTTTTCATCAAAGGTGCCAAGTGGCTTGTGCCATGGGAATTTTATACTTGTAGTTTTCTTCCGCCTGAAACTAGCCTCTGGGTTTGCGATTTTTCTTATATCGCAATAAAGTGGAGATTTGGACCAGTTGGTTCATGGCAAACAAATAAAGTGCTGAAAAAAACACAGGGACGCAGACGAAGGGAAACAGGACAAGGCGCACTCTCAACAGAAGTTGAATTTAACTCCAGTTGAGAGTGCGTCTTGTCCTGTTTCCCTTCGTCTGTGTCCCTGTGTTTTTTTGTTTTTTTTTGTTTGTTTGTTTTTTTATATCATTGTTGATCTCAACCTGCCTCAGCTATGGAATCTGTCATGCTTCCATGTGTGACAAAACACAAACGAAATGATAGTGTGCTGAATTAAGTGAGGTGTGAAATAATGTCTGTGATATATCCTTCATAATGACAAAGAATTTATACGGCGTTTACTAGTCCATGCTCAATTTCACTTTAAAGAAAGTATTGCAACCTGTGTTTTCAAACATGTTTATTTCTCACGTTACGGCATTGTTATAAAAAAAGAAAGCACTTTCAAAGACAAACTGCTTGTTTTCTTTATACATTCAAACTGACACAAATCCAATATGCGATTATTGAGTAATACACCTGGCTCTGTGGTAGCCATAATAGATTGTAAAATGGAGCAGGGCAATGGAAATTTAGAGAAAATGAATCAATGTCCAAACCCGATGCAAACAATATATTGCACTAACAGAAGCAAGACGGGTCTCACCAGTAGCCTCATTGAGTTCTCCGTTTCCTACAAGGGCGAGCCAGATGCCCCGTTGGCTAGCTAAATAACCCTACAAAACCTTCTGTTATTGTCCCACGGATTTTATGCACCCTGCTTGCAAATTAAAAAAAGGCTCTATCAACATCACCGTGATGCACCGAATAGCTTTTCGGAGGCAGTTCTACATGCCCGTAAAGGTAACACGGTGGTTGTGCGATGAACTGCGCAAAGCGTTGGAATTGACACTGTGGAGCTTATGGACGGCCATGACTGGAGCAACAACTGAAGCACATACTGCCACGGGGGGGGGGGGGGGGGCTTCTCTGGTGGCGAGGGCGTCAGTCGAGGTGAGGACAACGAGGGGTTCGCTGTCGCCGGTGGCGTCCCTGATGGGCGGGACTTGCGTTGTGGCGACGGACTCCTTGGCGCTGGTGGTGTCCCTGGTGGGCCCGACTGCCATCATGGCTTGCGTGGGGCTCCGGGAAGGCACGGCTGTGGCGGGATCGGAACTGGGCAACAAGGCGCTGCCTCAGAGCCCTGCCCCTGTCCGAGAGGCTGACCCGAGGGTGGGCAGGAGCCAGCCTCTCGTCCTCCGCGACTGACCCCTCCGAGCTCGGCCCAGACTCCAACCCTGGCTCGTCAGGGTCAGAGTCTGGCTCCGGTTCTGGCTCCTTCGATGAAAGGCAGATATTGTGGAGCACTGCACACGCCGATATAATGACGGTGGCTGTTGTGGGATGATAAAACAGAGCCCGGTGCCTTTGCAGACACCGGAATCTGCACTTCAACAGCCCAATGCAGCGCTCCACAACGGACCTCATCGAAGAATGTGCCTTATTAAACCGGCCGCATGCGGTGGAGGTCGCGTGGAATCCAGGGACAGGGGTGATGAGCCAAGGCTCCAAGGCATAGCCGCTGTCACCTGCACATTCAGAGAAGGAAATGTATGATATTAATGCAGTTCTCTCTAACAGAATACTTCAACAAAATTTGAAATGTAACCGTCATGTTCAGAAATAGGCTGAACATGATCCACAATACCCGTAAATGACAATCGCACATTTCTCTTTTGAGCCTTATGGCTATATTTTTCGTTATAAACAGGCCACACTGGCAAGCGCTCGGAGAGCAGCCACCAGAGAGCACGTCACATCCTGTGCAATTGTGATGTAGTTTCTCTTGGGATGAGCAAAGCTGCGGCGAGGCAGACATCGTCAGGATGCCCTAGCTGTTCAAGCAACAAAAGCGGTCGAAGCATGCCAGCGATGAGGCCACCGCAACAAACCCCAAAGCTGCTTTTGTGTGAATTTTGAGTGACGGGTTAATCTTCTATAATCTTGGGACGCACAAAAGAGAGTCCCGTTGAGTGTGGAGTTCCTCCCTCCCCTTGTCTGTTCTGCTGGCCGTTGAGCTGTCAAGATGACGTCAGGTTCAAAACATGTATAGTTCTAGGCGAGACAGTTATCGTCACTACCTGTCAAGGCTCCTAGACATCTAGAAGATGCTCTTTCCTAATCGCCTAATTTTTTTTAATGCCTTTTTGTTTCTTTTTTAACAAGATATTGGCGTGTCCGATGTGATACTGCTCTTCTGAACACGTATAGACGAAAGAATAAGCACCGGAATTTTGTTGTAGTATCCCTTTAAAATTGTTGAAACTAAGCAAAGAAAGGCGCATGTTTGTAACCTTTCCCCCCTTTACTTGACAGCTGCGTCAGAGTGTTTCCAAGGAGACGTGTCACAGGTATGGCCAGAGTGCATGCCAGTTATCGATGTTCGGAACAGTATGGGTGATATTGTAGCTTATAAGTGGTGCAGAGCCCTCACGTACAGTGCCAACAAATGGAGTATGCTTACCGAGCAGAAACCTGCCGTCGTCTATCAGCCGGCCTTGCTCGAAGTTGCTCCGTGTTTCCCATTGCGAAGAGGCGAAAAGAACAACGAGACTCGTTCTTTTTTCAGACGAAACACCGAGGAAACAATACGTCAAAGTGTTGTCACTTCCGGTGGGGGCGGTTCGCCGTCTCCGCCCACATATTTGTAGGGAACTTTCGTCATTCGAGCCTCAACCAATCAGACACGATGTCGTCACTTCCGTTTCTTTTAGGAGAAACGAAACATTTGTCCAACATAGGTCCCCTGGTACACCTTGTCGTCTTCAACTACACCGCTAAAGTCCCCTACATCGTCGGAACTCACAACAGGCTGGGTCTTGTCGAGTAGAAATTCTACTAAAACATAAGGCATTGTAGAGCCCGGGCAGGACCGACAGGTTGGAGCAAGCGGGCAAACAAAACGAGTCGAGAGCGATCGTTCATGAAAGCTCGGCGAAGCAGCGAAGCCTCTATGGGTGAAGCGAAGTGGCGTGTTCGGTGGCGTTTCGGCGGGCTTCTGATCAAGGTTGTCGGTCGGCTGCGTGTCATATCTCTAATATCAGCGGTTTATGGGCTCACGTCCCGAAATCGTTTTCTTGTGCATAGATTATTTTTCGTATTCATAGATTTGACGAAATAGTGGTATCCGAACGAACTTTACGCCCTTTGACCGTACGTCTGTCTGCACGTCAAAGCTTTTTGACGTACAGTCAGAGACAATCGATGTACAATCAGAATCGCCACCAAGACATCTTGATGGCATTCCGCGGCGGCCGACTGCCACCAGGAAACCATCAGAAAGCCGACAAGTGGAGTCTGACTTGAGTTTGACTGTCGGTCAGAGTAACTTGTTGGCCAATCAGGCATGCTTGACGTACAGTCGGGCACAGTCAGCGGTCCACTAGAAAACATTGACTGCCAAACAGGGTTACATTGATGGATTTTTCCTTCGGGAGACCAATACAAAATTTCCTGTGCGATACATATTTTACGCAAGAGCACAAGCTGTCGCACCTTGCGTGCTTGCGTAATATACGTGTCGCACAGAAAAGTTTGTATTGGTCTCTGCCAGAGTGCCCATTTGGGAAAATTAAAAAGGTTCGGTATAATTTCTTTACTAATTACTTTCGAGTAGCTAACTTTTTAATCGGTGAATAGATATGTATTTTTTTTTTTTAATTGAAAACTTTCCGAGCATCATGAAAAAACTCTAAATTAACTTATTCTGTAAATATAGAAGGAACACACAGCTTTTTAACGTGTTCGAGGAAAACGCTAACTTTAGGCTCGTCCCTAGGTGGCCGCATTTTCTTATCTTCTGCGAGGGGAGGGGGGGGGGGGGGGGCAAAGTGGTAGTCGCGCGCCTCGGCCACGGGGGCCAGTGAAGGATTATCAGATCGCTTGCCCAGCACCTGCTTATCGCTGTGTCATGTTGGCAGACTCGATGCCTCTATAAGCGGCGCCCACAATAAACGAGGAATCTGTTTTTCTATGGAACTGCGTGTGCGGTAACCATTCTTTCGCGTCTACACCGCAACGAGGCAGGCAGGACCGATGGCGCGAATATGATTCCGGTAAAAATCCGGCACCTAGAAACACGGCCAAGTTTAGCGTTTTTTTTTTTCTTTCATCGGGACGCCGCAAAATATTGCACATTCCTTCAATCTTTTTCAAATAAGTTGATTTAGTGATTGTTTTTTCTCTTCAGACTTTGCCTCCAAATTCACCAATTGGAAAAGTTATTTACTTAGAGTAATTCGTACTCTACTTAAACCGAACGTTGTAAATTTTCCCGAATGGGCCCTTTAGCAGAGACCGATACGACATAAACTATTTTGCTCTGTACTTCTGGATGTACTATCGTGGACACTGTTAGC